GGGCCCCGTTACCCACATCCATCACCCTCCTCTGCGCGCGGTGCAGCCAGCGCCGCAGGCTGACAACCCGGGCGAGCTCTGCGCCCGCGGCACCGCCGCGCGGGCCGGCCCTGCCCTCTAGCGCCGCCGCAACCGCCCTCAGCAGGGCCCAGCGCCGCCGGAACCGAGCTGAGCACTTACCTGCTCATCACACACAGCCACGGCCYGTCTGCCTCCGCGGATCAAGCACAGCCGCTGCGAGCAGGGTGGGCACCGCAGMGGGAGCCTTCCCGACGGGAAGGATGGACCGGGTCTCATCAGCCCCGCTGCAGTCGCTGCTTCCCTCAGGCATCGAGCCCTGCCCGCTGGGATGCGTGGACGGGAGGGACGTATGGACGGGGGGACACGGTGTCCCTGGACCGGTGCCAGCAGCATGGGGCTCCTCGTGGCGCCCGCCTCGGGKCTGCCAGTAGCGCGGGTTCCCAGCTCCGAGCCCCCGCCGAGCCGCGGTGACGCGCGTGGCGCTGGCACGTGGGACGAGCCGCTCCTGCCCCGGCACCCGGGTCGATAACCGCGCGGTCGGGCCCCGCGAGCGCGCGGGAGCCTCCAATGAGGCCCGGCCGAGGGACGGGAGCCTCCAATGAGGCCGGCGCGAGGGAGGCGCCTGGGCCCGCGCGCTCCCTGCCCTGGGACTCTGACCCCACGGAGCAGCGCGACACCATGGAGCCCCCGCAGGAGCTGGCGCCCGACCCCAGGTGGGTGGCGGGGCCCTGGCAGCCTCCGGGGCCCCTTTGGGTTGTCCCCAGCGCTGCTGAGCGCCGCCTCGCTCCGCAGGTTCCCCCCGCCGCTCGTGGAGATGCTCATAAGGAATTTCAGCGTGCCRGCTGCCTGCTTCTCCCTGCCGCCCACCTCCGAGCAGCTCCTGCGACGTAGGTGTGGGGCCGGGCGGGAGGGAGGGAGCTGGGGACACCCCCCTTGGCTCCCAGCGTGGACAGGAGCAGAGGGCGGTTGCAGGAGTGCCAGGCTGGGGGCTCAGCCCCACAGCACTGCCTGGCCCGGGGCCACGGGCAGGTGACATGGCAGGAGCCATGGGATGACGAGGATGTGGCTATTGGCTCTCCAGTGCCAGCCACAAAAGGGCCCCGAGATGGGTGTGGAGCAGTGGTTTCCCTGGAGCTCCCCACCAYGGTGTCCCTGGGGAAGGGCCGTGGTTGCTCACCCCTCCCCGGCAGAGCTGGACGTCTTTGAACTCTCCATCCTGGGCCTTGCCACCTTGCTGACGCTGCTGTCGGTTGCCATCTTCGTGGAGGAGGCCTTGTACCTCGTGCGCAAGACCCGCTGCCCCATCAAGAGGAAGACCCTGCTCTGGAGCAGCTCGGCCCCCACGGTGAGTCCCATGGGGGCAGCTGTAGGAATCACCCCATGGAAGGGGTACCACAAAGCCGAGGGTACCTGGGGGATGTGACACGGTGCAGGAAGGAGCTCCGTCGTGCCAAGCCCGTGTCTCACACAGGTTGTGTCGGTGGTGAGCTGCTTCGGGCTCTGGATCCCGCGCTCCATGATGGTGGTGGAGATGGCCACCACGACGTGAGTGCCGCCTGCGCCGGGCCACGGCGAGCAGGGCCCTGCCGAGGCCTCAGCTCGCTGCCCTTCTCCCCAGGTACTTCGCTGTCTGCTTCTACCTCCTGATGCTCATCATGGTGGAGGGCTTTGGGGGCAAGGAAGCGCTGCTGAGCACCCTCAAGGACGTGTCCATGGTGATCAGCACCGGGCCCTGCTGCTGCTGCTGCCCCTGCCTGCCCCGCATCACCATGAGCAGGTGAGCGAGGGCCCCAGTTGGCCGAGGGAGGGTAGGGGTAAAACCCTGTCCCTGGGAAGACAACATGGGACAGGGGGGACCTTGCGGTGTCACCGGCCTCTCTTGCTGTGCCAGGAAAAAGTTCAAACTGCTGCTGCTGGGGACTTTCCAGTACCCCTTCTTCAAGGTGATCGGTGTCTTCGTTGGGCTGGTGCTGGCTGCGGACGGGAAGTACAACCCTGCTGACGTGAGTGACAGGCCCTGGGGACAGGCAGGGCCACCTGAGACAGACAGAGGACAACCTAGTTAGCCAAGGCCACTGCACTAGCTGGCCTCGCAGCCATGGCTAGCACCACCGCAGCTGCTCAGACCCACGTGGGCTTTCTGCCTCCCCCAGATCTCAGAGAAGAGCGTGGCTCTCTGGATTAACACGTTCCTGGGGCTCTCCACTGTCTTCGGCCTGTGGGCACTGGGCATCCTCTTCCGACAGGCCAAGTTGCACTTGAAAGCGCAGAACATCGGGGCCAAGTTTGCTTGCTTCCAGGTAAGCCCTTGCCCTGCTTATCATCTTCCTGACCAGAATGAGCTTTTTGCRGCACAAAATTGTAGCAGCTGATCAGGAGTGAGGTGGGGAGAGCAGGAGGAGGGACAGGAGTTCCCTGCTGGCGAGATCCATGCCTGGCTGGCTGCAGGAGAGCGGGGGCTGGCAGCAGGGAAAGGCAGAACAGCAGCAGTTCATCCATGCCACGCCGCTCCCCTCGCAGGTTCTGCTCATCCTCACGGCGCTGCAGCCCTCCATCTTCAGCATCCTGGCCAACAACGGCAGCATCGCCTGCTGGCCGCCCCTCTCCTCCAAGGCCAGGTCGCAGCGTGAGTAGTGACACGAGGGAGCGGAGCCACTTGCTCCCTGACAATCCCCCTCTGCCTCAAGACCAGGAGCAGAGCTTCAAATAACCCTTTTTTTCTCCTCGTTTTAAGAGATGAATATGCAGCTGGTAATCGTGCAAACGTTCATCATGGCTGTGGTGACCCGAATATACTACCGCAAGCAGGATGACAAACCTGGCTACCAGCCCATCACCTTCACACCCGTGGACACCAACATTAAGGTCTGAGCAGGAGGATGGTGCCAAGGGGAACAGCAAGGCCAGGGACCTTCCGCTTGCACCTCCTCCTTGTATAGCCCTGGGAAGCTGCTGGGAGCAAGTAACGCGGGGAATAAGAGGGCACGGAGGTTAAAAGGATCTGAAACGTGAGGGACACAAAGCAAAGATCATCCATGAAGCGGCCTTCAAGCCCAGGGGACTCTGCCTGGCACTGAATAAAGATACATTTGTACCTGAACCTTTTTGTACCTGAACCTGGTAACTTGTGGGCTCAAGTTTTCTCCTGGCCAGGCTGGGGTGGGTGATGACTCTCAGAGAGGACACGAAGGGAGGAGGATGGAGATCAGAGTGACAGCCACGACGTGGGTCTGGGTCAGAGGCGATGCTCGATGCCAGCCACGACCGGAGGTGGAGGACTGGGCACAGCAGCCACAGGGAAACACATGAACATCCAGCTTTTTTCCTTGGTAAAGGGTCCATGGCAGGGACTGCTCCTGACAGCACAGGCAGGTACATCCACATCTGCCAGCCTGCAAGGGTGGAGAGGAGGGATCCATCCTATGAAACAGGTGAATAGTTAATGCTGCTTTAACCAGCCTTGCCCATGACCTGTTCCTGCAACAGCATCTGCTCCACACCTAGCACAAAGGTGGGGACAGACATTGGAATGATGACAACCTGCAGGAACCTCAGGGTAGGCGCTTTTTCTTCTTTTCCCCTCCATGGAGCATCTTCTCACTCAAACCACTGCTGACAAGGACGAGATCTTGTTGCGCTTGCAGAGTAGAAGATATCTGGCACACACATGGTAAAATTATATCCACATTTATTTACCTAAACATAAAGCCAAAACAAGAACTCAAGAACAAGCCAGTGAGACACACACATGTGCTCCAGGTCCACGCAGAGAAACCATCACAGTGACACCGAGGGGAGACATCCCAAGGTAGCCACGGCTCCGGGGCAGCAGAAGGGACAGGAGGGACAGCCCGGAGGGAGCCGCACAGCAGACATGGGCACGTTGGGGCCAGAACCTGGGCCTGCTGCCAGGCACCRCCGGCTCCACGTGACCCGGGCCCTGGCGCCCTGTCAGGCCCCCCTGCCAGGTCACCTTTGGCCAGGATGGCATTTTCGGGGAGGGAGGAGTCAGAAATCCAAAGCTCCCCGGTATTATCTATTTCATTTAGTCACTTGGGGGAAAAAAAAAGAAGAGCAAGTTCTCTGTCCCTGGAAGGGAAAAAGCTGCAGAGCTTTCTGCAGTTGTCAAATCTGACATGGTTTCACAGATTCATGGTAACAGAGAATGATCCTTAACAACACAGTTTTACAGGCGCCTTCCGGAGTGCTAGGGGCCAGAAATCTCATGGCTTTGACAAGATGCAGCACACAGGCAGCAAAATAAAGAGACTTGGCCTCCTTGGAGACGCGGCCTCCTTGCCGGTCAGCCAGACCTGGCTCCACGTCTGCAGCAGGCAGAAAATTAGGGCTTTACAGAAGGGAGCCTTTGGCAGCCAAATAACTCCTGAAGGGCAGGGCACAAACCGCAGGGACTCTGCTCTGTCCCACCAAAGTAACAGCTACAGCCAAGTRTATTCCCAAGGTGTCCCTGGAGAACCCGACTTACACATCTTGCCCCGAGATGAAGCTCTGCCCCGTTCCTGATAGGACAGGGCAGCATGGGGATGTGACCGGTCCAGCAACCCAAGAGGAGATAACACTCACCCCTCTATCCCCCCCAAAAACGCTCCCCAAAAGAAACCAAACAAGGAAGAAAAAAAAAAGCAAACCAGACCAGTCTGGGGTTGGAGCGTCTGTTTTAATTTAAGTGCGAGGAGGAAGCAGCGATTGTTGGTTACAAGCAACAGCTCCGTTATGCCGAGCTGCAGAGGAAACCACGTGTGGCTTCTTGCCAAGCACCCCAGGTACTGCAGAGACCAGGAAATCCGTACGGTGCCCAAAGAACAACCCCCCAATCCGGCCAACAACCTTGCAGAAGGCAGTCATGGATCCCTTGTTTCCAACAGCAGGGAGGCTCTAACGCTGCACGGCCTTCCTGACCCGGCTGCGGAAAGTAACCGAACCCTATTTTGAGGGAAGGGTGAAGGAAGGTGGGGAAGAGAGAAYGTGGGTATATAAGTGCTCTATCCCTCACAAACCAGGGGATTAACAACTGGTTTCTATCAAGTGACGGTGTTTGCTCACTATAGCTTAAAAATGAATAGCAGCCAGCCGTGCTCCAGAGGCCAAGTGGCAGGAGAGAACCCCCAGTGCCGTTTCCTGCACCATTTTAGGCTCAACAGCAGCGGGGTGACAAGAAGCGTCTCACACGGGTCTCTGCCAAGGCATCTGGGCGACAGGACCCAGGAAGGGCAGGACACAAGCAGCAGCAGGAACACGTGGAAGCACCTCGGGGCGCAGGGCGCGCGGCAGCACGGCCGAGGCCTCGCGGGGAGCGCGCGGAGCCCCTYGCGCCATTGCTGGTCGGCCTGCGAGCCCGTCCTCGTGCGCTCCCAGCGGGAAGCGCCGCAGCTCGTGGAGCCAGGAGTGCCACAGAAGGCCCCAGCAGAGAAGCGAGCGGGAGCTCCACGGCTGCAACACCGCGAGCTCCACGCGGCAGGGCACCAAGCTCGACACTCGCTGCACACAACAGCGGGCAGGACTTGAACCGCGGCTTCAAGACAAGCAGGTGGCTATGTTTAAAACCTTAAAAAGCAGCAGCTCCCTCTGACGCTCCCTCAGCCCTCTCCCTTCGGGGCTGGCGCAGGGGAGCACAGATTTTTGCACATAACGTGCAGCCCAGGTAACCGTCACGTGGGACCATCCCCTCCGACCGCAGTAAAACGCGTCCTTCCTCTGTCCAACCGCGCGCACCAACACGGACACCAAATCGGCCACATGAATCCACGTTTTGTCCTCACAGCGGCAGCTTCACAGCACCAGTACACGAGTGCCCCAGCCCGGAGAGCACGGCGACTGAAATGCAGACAAACACGTACCCAGCACAGTGCAGAGGAGCCTTCTGGGCAGACACAACAAATACACACACCGGAGACTAGGACAAGCAGCTTTTCCAAGCAGCACACACATATCCATTTCCTACATGGACTTTCACACTCAAGGGAACACACAGACAGCAAGTACTCTGAAAGAAAGACTCCGTCTCTTCCCTCCAACAGCAACTGAGGGCTGAATTTTAGCTCTAGATTTCACAGTCTTGTCAAGACAGGTTGGAAAGGCCCTTCCCCGGCAGCCCTCACACAGATTTGGGGATTTTTTTGCAGGACCAGACTCCTTCATGGCCAGCTGGCAGCCCCTTCCCCAGCACATCTGCACTGCAACGTGCTGGGGCACTAAGAGACACTACAGCACTACAGAGTGCATCAGATAGATCCCTATCGGATCCAGTGCGGCACAGAGGTCTCTATTTCCTAACAGTCTTTCTAGCCAACTGCTTCCTGCCTGCTTTTGAGGTCAGTTTTGAGGAACTGTGAGATCTTTCGTTTGGCAGCAGCACAAATACCGCCTGGGCATACGAGGGATTAAGACAGGAGAGGAAGGAAAGGAGGGACGGAGGGGTCTGGGCACTGCATCCCACTCTCCCTCTCACCTGAAGGTTTAACAGGGGAAAAGAAACCAAAATAAGAGCCACACTTGAGTGCTATTCTTTGTGTTTAAAAAGAGTATTTTCTTAAAATATAAAAACCATCTTTCCCCTGGAAACCGTTAGAACGTAAACAATAAAAAGGGAAGGAGGGAGAAGGGAAGAGGAGAAGATATTTGAATGTGCTTCCAGGCAGCAGCCCCTGCTAACCGCGCCGGGTGCCTTTGGGTGCCCGTGCCCACGTCAGCCCTGTTCCTATGGCTCTTGTGCTCATTCAGAGCTCCCCAATGAGTCCGGACTTGTGACTTGGCATCAGCGACTCGCAGCAAAGCCCGGCTGGCAGCTTAATCCTCTTCATCCTCACTGATGTCGTAGGTGACCGTGGACTCATTCCTGGCACGGTTGGCCGGCGAGGAAGGAGGAGTCTTGGTTGAGAAAGGCCAGCGGAACGAGGGAGATGGGGAACGGTCATGTGTGGGGCTACTGCTGGGACTCTGCTTTGGGCTGATGGCCTGCAGCATCCGGCCCTTGCCCTCTTTCAGCATGTGTTTCTAGTTGTGGAAGCAGGAAGGCAGTTAACACGACTCAAAAAGTAATGCAAAACAACACTATCTACAGCTCTTGCCACATTTTGAGGTGTTTTGCCCCCCCTTCRATCCCTTGGGCAATAGGAAAGCACAGAAAAGCCCAAGTACAGCTCGAGCCTTTGGAAACCATCCAGTTGAATCAACACCCACTTTCCAGCACCTACAGCACGAACTGCTTGTGATGTTTTGCCAGCGTTGCTGGACAGCATGGCAAAGCAACGTTTCACAGGCAGCTTCAGACCCATCCCAGGTAAGTGACAGAGTGAGTGCCAAACCCTTGGCTGCTCAGTGGCCCCTAGGACACATGTTGGAGCGTACAGAGCAGCTCCTCTCCTGCTAATGGCCACAAGTGGCTTTAGGCAGCTGGCGATGCTCGCTGCACCCGTGCTGCCCCGGCCTGCGGCAGGACGCACCCAGCACTGGGACAAGCTGCAGCCCTTTGCTCTGCAGAGCCTGCGCTCCAGAAGACCTGGTCCTCACTGCTAAGTTCTGCGAAATCCTCTTCCCCCTTCTCCCTGACAGGCTCCTTACCAATGCACCTTCTGGGCCAAACATCTCCAGGAAGTTGCCGATGAACTCCCGGGACTTCTCTTCCCACTTCTGGATGAGATCGATACTCTTTTCCTCCACTTTCTGGACAAACTCCTTGGATTTCTCCTCTACGTCCTTCACCCTCTTTTTCACCTTATCCACACGTTCTTGGAGGTGGTATTTCTTCTCCTGCAGAGAAATGGTGGATCAAAATATGACTTACCAGATTTCAGTACTGACTATCTCTGCTGTATGTTATTACCCTGAACAGTTGCTTCAGACTCAGCATCTCCCTCAGTTTCATGACATTTCTCCTACTTCAAAGACACTTCTTCCCTAGACTAAATGACAGACACTCAGAGGAGCTGTGAGATGCTTTGTGGCAGGCACCAACACACATCWTTTTTTCTGTATTTCATTGTATTTATAAAATAGACAAGGTATCTGTCTAAGCACTAAGAGAAATGTTTTCTACTCCCAGCATTGGGAAAAACATAGCATTATTTCTGCCACACATTCTGCCTGTGCACCAAGAGCTGCGCAGCACAGGACKAGAACATGCTCTTCATGACCATGCACTGCTGCTCCTGCATCTACAAGGAGACTAGTGCAGCGAGAACAAGGTCAGGTTTAGTCCTAGAAAGAATTACGCTTCCTTATAACGACAGTTTAGGGARGAGAAATTCTATGAAACACAACAGGTGCTGCCATGAACAACCAACACTTCATACGATWAAAGAAACTGTTTATCTCCCTCCATCTTTTAGTCCCTCAATAAGCAAAACGCTACCAAGTTGTCATTTCTGACAGTGGGCAGCATTAAGAAAACGCCAGTTCCTCCATGTTGGGCTGCTCTTCACAGCAAAAGAGCAAGAGAAGAATGAAATCTAATGTCTACTGCGAGGTGACCCATTTGGTGCAATTGCTTAGCTCGGCAGATCTTGACATTTACAGACAGGACTGTGCTCCCACTAGGGAAGGATCTGCATCCACATGCTCTTAACACTCTGCTTCCTGCAGCTTGTTCTAAGATACACTTCAACTCACATTTATGAAGCTGACATTGAGCTCTTTAGCTGTGTAGCCCCTTTGCAGGTTTCTTCTGGCATAAACGTCGTAGTCCCGCACAATCCGGGTGATGATATCTGATGTTGAGATCCCCTCCGTCCTCTGGGTTGGTGCAAACATGCCTACAAGTTGGGGAACAGGACTCAGGACAGCTGCAGCAAGCTGGATGGCAAAAAGCTACTGCCACCCCAATTAGGAAGAGCCTCTCCYATCAACAGCATGATTCCCAATTGTCTTCATTCCACCACCTCTCTCTCTCTCTTTGAATATTCAATAATGGCAGTTCTCCTTTCTGGAATGATGAGGAGAAACTAAGCAAGATCTAAGCAAGTGTCAAAACATGCCTTCCAATTAAAAACTCCACCTCTTCACTTCAGCTGGTTTAAATATTATTATCTATAACCCACTGCATTTAGAACAGTGTGGAGACAAGGACAGGAGAGAAAAGAGCTCTCACAGTTTAGCAGCTGGCTAGGTTTGAAGCTAGGTTTAAGTAAGCTGCATCTCCATGGAGTTTTAGAGCAATCAACTAGAGGGACCACTAGCAAGTTCATGCCAGTTCCTCCATTTGCGAGCATTTGCAAACCAAGCCAAAGAGGTGGCTGTTGCTACAATCACAGTAATTAGACTAGAAGCAGAAATTAATGTAGGACAAATGTGTGGCCTTATGAACTGACATAATTGTGCCCTACAGAAGAAAGGGATCAGCTACAGATCTTTGACAAGAATCCCTAGAGAATCCGCCCCAGACCCACCTGCTTCTTTTATATGCTTATAAACGTCATCACTGCCAGCAGAAGAATAGGGGATGTCATCATGTGCAACAAAATCGATCTGTAAATTTAAGAGAGCAAAGTGAATCAAAATTTTACCCTGAATATGCAGGTTTCATGATTTCTGTCAAAGGATGGCTACTTCTGCTCAACACCTCCACACAGGGGCATAGTGAGGAACAGCAGGATGCTTTTGATTGATGGAAAAGCAATGCTGAGCAGTCCTAAGTTCTTATTGGCAACTGTTTATCAATCAAGCCTGCAGGTACAGACCAAAGAAGAGGAGCTGGGACTACAGATACAGGTTGTTTAAACTCCATAAAGAAATTACTTCCTAATGGCACCTGGGGGAAACTAAGTAAACTCATCTGAACATCCCAAACTCCTGCACCTCCCAGAGCACATCAACAGATTGTAGATGCTCCTTTCACTTCACCTTTTCCATCTTATCTATTGCTCATTACACACCACACTGTCACTACCATCAACTTCTGAAAGTGTGAGGCTCCTGCTGGCTTCTTTGCTTTCTCACTATCTTCATTTTATTTCAGCATTACCTTCCACATCACTGAATACTTGCAATCTCCCAAGGAATTTACCTAGTTCCCATAACCTAGCACATTCTGCATTCCAGTATTTTAGGGAGAGTTGCTCAGAGATTTAGCTGGATAACTAAATGGATAAATCTTGCTGCAAAGAGCAGGATAATGAAAATCCAAAGCAGGTGAGACAGCACACATTACCCTGTGCTCTGCCAGGAACTCCGGTGTGAGGGTCCATGGTGCATTTCTCACCACTTCGTCCACGTAGCGACAGTGCTGCACGGCGTCGTACCGCTCGTTTTCATTCATTACTGTGAAGCCCTTGAAGTTATGGGTTAGCTCATCGCTGCAGACTGGAGAGAGAACAGAGAAGAGCGAGTCCAAGGTGGCTGCCACAATATTTTATAGCAAAAGGACTCTGCCCCTGCTGCACAGGACAAGCCTGGCAAACCCAGCTTGTTGACAGAAGTTGGCACCAGGTTCTTCCAGGCACAAAACAAACAAACAAAAAAATCCACCACAGGAACAGGGAGTGGTGATGAGGAATTAAGCACTTGGACAATTCTGCTCAGGCTTACCACAGGAAAGTGGACAAGTTTTGCGGGGGGGATTTCTGTCCAAAATGGGGGTCTACACACCCCAAACGCTCCAGGACTCTAATGCCTATGTTACTTACCAAGAAAAAAAAGCTCAGTATGGAATACAACTCTCTCTATGAAGTGACACAGGGGGCTCTACCTAGCATAAACCTGCTCATTTACCTATGGATGTCTATCTTGCAAAAAAAAAAAGGGAGCCCTCCACCTCCAACATCCCTAGGATTCTGATTTAATAAAATACCATATTATAATCTAGCTCTCGAGAAAAAAAAAAAAGCAAAACTAAGAGAGAGTTCACAGTAAATCAAGTTAGTTTAATAATCGGGTTCTATGAGAAAGTAAACACACAGCTCCTCATAATCTGCACAATGGACATGAAGAAGGGAGCTTTATTTGGTTATTGGAATCAAAAGTAAACAAGGCTTTACCAATCTCACTGCTTCTGGATGTTTTATGCTCCAGAGAAACAGATGATAAAGAGAGGGCGAGACAGCTCCTGTTTGGAGCCCATGTTCCTGGTGCAGGAAACGCAGCCCGTTGCTCCCTGCCTCCTCACAGGCTCCTGGAGGCATAAGGCACCCTCGCCCAGCTTGCTACACTAACATGTTAACAGTATTTTTGCCTATAGTTATTTTGTTAACTGATGTGCAACGTTTACATATATTGACCTGTCATTTAGCCTTCAAGATCTGTAAATCTGGAGCATTCTGTTGATCTGAGTGGCTATTTCACCTCTCCTCTGCCATCTAGACCCTACTGTAACTCATACGAAAATCATAACCACAAAACAATAACCRTCTGCAATAATGAAACTGTGATAGGCAACAAGCTGCATGAAATTATTAATGCTATACTACAGATGAGAGCTTCATTTTTTCTTCTGGTAGCTAGTAGTAGTTGTGAAAACTAGTCAGAAGTATTTCCAATTCTGACATCTTACCACTAGCACACAGGCTAAGAGCTCACTTCATGATAATCAATAGCCACAGTTTGACATGTTTTTAGCACCACATGCCAGAAAGGTGGATGAAAGGATGGATAAGGAGGCACAGTGCAGACAGAAGTCAGCATAGGACAGAAACCAGAAAAATAATATTCTTTTCCTTTATAGTTTTGAAGGCATCTGTCTGAAAAAAATGCTGTTAGATCCTTTCACAGAGTCACAGATTGTTCCTGGTATCATCTAAAGAGTTTCGAGAGTAGTAAACAGCATGGAAAAGTTGTTTAGAAGAAAAAGGAGCCTCCCAGGGCCAGTCATGTGCACAAGGAACTACTATTATCTCTCCATGCTCTTTTTGGGTCAGTCTTAAGCAAAATCCAGGAGAGATCTGGAAATGGAGGGGAATGTGCAGCATGACAAAGATTATATCAAGCTGAAACAGCTATGGAGGGACTGCTCATCATGCTTTAACTGCCTCATTCAAATGGAGATGCTCAACTGCTCCTTGTATTTTTTAAATACTCAGATAAGCAACTCAACAGCAATCCTCACAAAACAGAGGGACAAAGTCAGAACATTAGTGTCAAAAGTCTTTTCCTCTGGTGCTTTTTTGCTACAGGATTTCTTTTTGCAGATCTGTTGGCTCAACATATCGCAACAAGACTCCAACAATGCAGTGGAAGTTGTCAGTATTGGCTGCAGTGAACCTGCCAAGGCTCTAAAGCAAAGACAAAAAAGCTGCTGTGCCATCCGTATGCACTCCACTGGAGCCACTCCTAGGACAGGCCAAGTCAACAAGGTCACTCCTTACCTCCTACAATGAGGTATGTGTTTGGGAAGAGGTTCTTGGCTTGCATCAAGGCCCGGGCATGTCCAGAGTGAAACAAGTCAAATATTCCATCCGCATAAACTCTGACAGGGCGATCCACTGTGCCAAGGAGAGAGAGAGACACATGTGTGAAGATCCATTGCTGGAGAAGCAGCCAGTGCTCATGCCTGCATTTGGGGACCTTCTGAAACTCAAGAGAGAGCTTCAGAAAACTGCCAGAATGCAGTCAGAAAACTGCCAGAATGCAGAGCCATGGCCACAAAAGATTTAAGAAAAAAAATGGTTGGTTCTTTTCCTTCCCACAGGGAAACAAACGCATCTGAGCACAGAGCTGAAATATAACCATGTTCAAAGGCAATTTCAAAACCTAACACATACCCACCAAAAAGGTGAAGAGAGATCAAGTGGAAAGCAAACCCCCATCATCTCCTCCTATGGAAATCCAAATGCAACATTATTTTTCCACACAGCAGTGAGCTACTGGAGGAGAACTGGCCAAAACGTTTCACAGATGCCTGATTCCCCCCGCCAGCCAAGGCGGCATCTCAAGAACCTTCTCAGCACCCTCCTCTCTGCAGCCCATTGCCACAGCTACCAGCCTTCCAAAAGGCCCGGTMGTTTTGGCTCCTCACCAGCCTCATGGGCTCCCCTCAACCCCACGAAGCATGCGACTTTATGCTGGGCTGTTCAAAAAGCAAGTCAGATCCTCTTCTGCTCATCTACTGTGGTTACCAACCAAACCTATGCATAAATAAGGAAGAAAAAAAAGCTTTCATCTTAGCCAAGGTAGCTCTTCTATCTGAGGTGAAGTGAAATAGTCTAGTACTGCCATGTAATACCAGGAGAGGGCCAGACTGCTGGTCTCCCAGGACCACACAGGACTCCAGCTCTCTTGCTGCCAGTAACAGAAAGCTGCCCATTCTTGGTATTTGACCCCTCTGGGAACTGCCTGGTTTACAGCCCGGTTCAGCCAGGCAGGCTTGGAAGAGCAGTGCACAGAGCTGCAGTGAGAAGAGCTGAACCCCCATGGATCTAGGCAGGGCCCTGAAGGAGCCTAGGGACAGAGCACACGAGGCAGCAAGATGAAGCTTGATGCAAACGGAAGGATGTTAAGTTCAAGCTAAGCAGGGGAGTCAGTTTGAGGACAGYCTCTTGCCATCACTCGTCAACAAACGCCACATCCTGACAGTGCCAGGAGGTTCCAAAGAGCCAAAGACCTGGAGACTGTAAACACTTCCTGCAGGCCAGAAGAGGGCTGATCCTTATATGCCTTTATTAAAGTGCAGGCATGTTCTGAGAATTGGCTTGGGACATTTCCCCCTCTCCTCCACACCTGCAACAATTACAGTTCCTGATCATGGGCAGAAAAAGCAGGAAGGAAGCAGATATTTCAGTCTCCGCAGGTAGGAGAGGCCATCAGTATTGAAACAAGAGACCTCTGTGCAAGCTCTGGAGAYTTTCTGCTGGGAAACTAACGTGGACTATGGAAAGCACTGGATTTCCAGAAATGCCTGCAGGAAACCCTGCCTCTCAACACTGGCAACAGTCAGGTAATTAGCAGTGCAGCATTTTTTATTGTCTCAGGGTCTCTGTACCAGAGAGGCCAAGAAAGGCAGCACACTCTGCACACTGCGCTTGGCAAGAGAGAGCAGCCTCCCTGCAGAAGGAGCCAGCCCTGCCCTCTGTCTCCCTCTTTGGTGCAAAGATAATAGYGTTTTTTTCCAGTCTCCTTCAGAGAATAAAATGACATGTTCTTCYGGCAGGGTCAGCCTATTGTGTTCCATGACGCTGACTTTAATTTAAATGCAAACGAGAAGAGGATAACCTGGGAAAAGTTGTGTATTATTTTTATTTGCCCATTTCAAAGAGATGTTCTTTTAAATTGTTGTCCAACTTTAAGCTACCTCAARGCAGTACGGGAAAATGGCTCTGACACTACTCTAGAGCTGCCAGTGGCACAGGGAGCACTAGAACATGAATTTTTATTTGCATCAAATCATCTTGCTGGTGTATGCACTGTTCCTCRCAAACCGAAGCTCCAATTTTAATTGGGATTGGCAGTCTCAAATTGACGTGAGAACAGTCATTTATCCACAGAGCATTAACTAAACCTCTGGGTGCAAATGTGATCTGACACACAGGGTTGTGCTAGTCTCAGAGAAACCCAAGTCCTCCCACTGCCAAAACTCAGTATTTACATAGTGCCATTCCAGTCTGGATTTACTTACAGGGGGTTCCTCTCATCGCTTCTTCATATGTTACTCTGATGTATGGCTTGCTGTAATCCATTTCCACTTCATCTGAAAACGGAGCTGGCTCCCGCAGCCCCTGAAGAGCCAGAGAAGGTTAGTCATGAGAGCGCGAAGGTGCGAGATGAGGATGTGCTGCACGGCGGCTGCAGCGCCGTTATGTGACTCACTGCTTCTCTGCAAGACTCATACACAAACACTGAAAGATCAATTAGTGTAAAACCTCACAACAGTTCTGCAGGGTGATGAGAAACAAGAAAGAGGAGCTGGAAACTCACACTGGGGCCCCTAAAAATTCACCAGACACAGCCAGTTCTGACAAACAGCTGTAAGAGAGGCACAGAGAGAAGGAGATGCTAATTCACCCTGGGATCCCTAAAAAACCTTCAGGCTCAGGCAGCTCTGACAAAAAGCCATTCACAACAGCAGAAGTCAAGCAGCCCTCGTGGTCACAGCTTCAGCTCTGCCCACCCAGCCAAGACATGAGCCACCTTGCTTGAGTGCTCGTGCTGTGATGCACAGATTTTAACAGCTCCTCAATCTGGGTATTTGAGCCGCCTCATATGACTAYGTGAGCATCAGAAGAGCAACGTCGACAGCTGTACAAATCCCCAGGGAATACCTATGTCACCACCCATTTCACAGCCCCACACATTGAGAGCCTGCTCTTCACCTGTGGCACAGCTCAAAGGGCTACAGGAAGTGTCCTCTAATCTACTGCCTTGACTATAGTGGTATGTTAAATTAGCAGCTGAAGTCCAGGTACCCTTTCTGAACATGTTCTCCTCCAGAAGGGAACAAATCACCTGCCTTTCCCATAATGGAACAAACAGCTCCACTTCTTTCTACCGGGAAGGCATGAGGCAGCAAAGGATTTCTCTTTCCTGAGCCAGAAGCTGAGGGCACAAGCTCGCAGATCACTACAACAGCCCCTTCAGGCTGCACAAAGCTRATCAGCACTTTCCTCCCTCACTTCCTGACCCACTGCAGCACCCAGCCGTGGTGCACAGCAACACTGCGCCCAGCAGCACCACTGCCACTACTGTTGGTGTTATTTGTCATTAGAGATCTCCAAGGGAAGTGCACAGGAAACAGCCACTGCCACTGTGTTCAAGCAGCGATGCTGCTGCAAGTCTCTAGTAACAAGGGCATTTACTGAGACTCTGATACTCATGTTTCCTATACCACTTTCTCTACCAAGATCATGGATTTTACTGCATGAGGCTCTTGGAGGTCATTATGCACCTGCTTGCACATCAGAGATTTTAAGTTCTTATTTTAAAAGAGCAAAGTTCATTTGCCCAATCCCATCTTACTGGCTTTCCAATGAACCACCTAACTTCCATACCTTTTTGCTTTTACTTTTGCAATTATATTGTTATGTAAGGCCTGTGCTCCTTTCATTTATCACAGCCATTTCATTTAGGACTTGGCAGTAAAATCAGATTCTTTGCAGTTTCATTGTCACATAYCTGATAAGAAGCGAGGAGTTAAAAGCACAAAAGCCTATAAAAACGGTCAAACAAACACAGAGAAATGTCCTCAAAGGCTCCTATCAATCTTGCCCTTCCTCTGCACTACCTGTGAGGGKCAGGACACAACCTGACATGCACAGCACAACGGGCTCATGCGTCAGCAGCCTTCTGACCACCATCTGCTGCAGAGCCCTGCTGCTTCAGGGAGCACTCTGCAGCCAGCTGTGCAGCCAGGCCTTCGAGGTAATGCTATAGTGAGGCAACTCCACTGTCCTTGCTACATTAAATACATGTAGCACAAAAAGAGGAAAAAAAATCTCTCCTCAGGAGATCTACATTAGCCCTGTGGCTAAAAAACAGCCAGCAGGTTTGGAGGGTGGCTAGAGATAACTTGTTTTGTTCTATTCATAAATAGAAGCTTCATTTCTAAGACAGGACAGACACCAACCTCAAGAGCAAGAGCATCCCATGGGATAACTTATGCCAGTGCCTTGTCCTTCCTCTCTGAAGGATACAGGGTCTTCAGGAGGAACAGAGAGGATTTTGTCCAACGGCAGGGATGCTAAGGCTCAAGGGATTCCATTCCCAGTGCTYGCCCCTCCCAATTCTCACTGCAATTTGCAGGCTGCTACTTCTCTTATTTCATTAGCATCTGTCCAACACCTTGGGACAGGACTGCCGCACTCCTGAAGAGCCAAACTGTGTTATGAGAGGAAAGCTTGAGCACATCACTGTCTTGTACCAAGGACTATGACCCTTGGAATGGGTAGCAACTGACTTGTGACAGAGATAAGGAACGAGAGAGAACATGTGACACAAGTGAGAGCCCCAGGAAGGGGGCGGAGGAGAGCTGGAAAATCCAGTCATCCCAATAACACAGCAAGGACAAAATAAAGTTAACWCTTTACGCTGCAATTAACTGACATAGTCTTAAGGAAACACCAAGCTATCTCAAGCTTCATCTGGAAGGAATTCTGGTTTTAACACTCCTGAAGCACTGGCACCACGAATACGGACTCCTGCCAGACCAGGAGAATCAAAAGCAAAGTCATCTTCCTGGTGTTTCAAACAGCAGTTTCAGTAGATTCCTTCTGCAAGTGCTCACAAATTTTAAACCCATTTGCACCCCTGGCTTGGACAGATCTAAACCTTTCTATTAGGTGCATGAGTGACAAGGTGCTTGTTTGGAGGATTCCTCCCTCCTTTGGGTCACTAAGAAAACCCACTTATGAAATAAACAGTGATTATTCCCTGTCTGTAGTACGTGCCTATCTGTGTGCCTGCCTCTTGGGGCACTGATTAAGTGACTCCAAACTATCCGGACACACCACAAAAGCAGCTTAGCAACGCTTGCCTCAGACCTAATTTAAGCGCACGTTGTAAGTATGTTATTAGCATGAGCATAGGAAGATTTCAAACTGGCTCTGCAGGAAGGATAGCTACTATCACCTGCTTCTTTCCTCCCCCTTGTTTTCTGTATTCTCACAGAAGAAAAAAAAAGAAAAGAGAAAATCACTTTTCTCACTTTTCTCTTCTTGCTGTTACGACTTCAGTCTCCTAAGCTCAGCATCTTTGCTTACTTACAAATGATCGTCGGGACATTTTTGGAGGGATTCCATCAGGCTCTGCCGCCCCATTGGGGCCAGATCCATCTTTTCTTCTCTTCCGGGAATTCAGCCTGGAGGAGGTCGGCGACTCCATCTTGTCAGGCGCGTCCAGTAAGAACTAGAATCAAATGCAGAAGGAAAAGGAAAAGAAAAAAAAAGAAAAAAGTATTTCTCAGGTCTCTCAATGCAAAAATCAGTCAACAGCAAGCTCAGTGTAAAGAAGGTCAGCCCAAAGACACAGCCACCTAACAAGGGGCTTAGCCAGTTGTACTTGGCACCAGCTGCCCAGGCTTGACAAACAGTGCCCGGTGGGAATACTGAGCCACTTGGTGCAATTCCGAGCGGCTCCGCGGACGCATGCGCCAAGCAGCTGGTTGGAGACAAACTATCACAGGAGTTGCAATGCAAGTTATAAATCATTAGTGCAAGGCTAATTATGCTATTTTAGCCTCAGAAAGGCTGTGGTGTGTCCCAAGCAGCCCTCCCCTATCTCATTTGGTGAGGCTGAACGCAAACGCTCTTGTGCCCGTCTGTCCTTTCTGCCGCCTCGGATCAGGACACCTGACTGCGGTGCTGGCTCCCTGTACAACCCTGGAGAGAGAAGGCAGGGAATTTGAGCAGAATAATAAGGTTAAGGAAAAAAAGGAGAGAAAACAATCCACAGTGACAGCTAAAATAACTGAACTGCTTGCAGTTTGCCTTGCTGTTTTGCTTGAGGACAGCAAAACTCAGGGTGGCTGCCACTGTGTTCCCCCCATGTCCCCGCTGCAGTGGTGACTCAGCTGGCTGCGGAGCTGCTACGGATGACACACCAGRGCAGGCTGAATTCTGGCTCCCCTTTATACCAGGCTGTAATTAGTGGTGGTTCAACTAAACAGCTTCTCTGATGAATGGACAGACAGGCTGCCAGTGTGGACAGAAAAAGTGACAGCTACATGGAGCTGAGCTATCCCTGCATTAGACCCGAGTCCTCACACACTGCTACCTTCCCAAGAGGACCCGTGGCCATTAGGAAGCTTAAAACAGGTCATGCTGTTTAAGGAAAGCTTGGGAATTACACTAAGGCACGCAGCAAACATTCCCTTTTTCAGCTGCAGCCAGAGTTAGAAACGGACGCCGCATTTCCAACRTTTCAGAGCAGGGAGCAGCAGCCGGGTGCTTCCCATCGCGCTCACTCGGAGTGCACGGACACGCAGGGGAGCAGGCGATCCCCCTGTGCTGCTTTTCCCACCTCCGGGGCCAGGACCGTGTCCCTGCACCCCAACGACGAGGGCCGGGCGGCACCCAAAGCTGCTCCCGAGCCACGCGGGGCGGCTGCGCTGGGACASGAACACTCGGCACAAGAGCAGGGGCCCCTGCAAGCCCCGTCCCGCTGCTCGGTGTAATTCCAGCCGGCATTCCAGCCCGCTCCCTGGCCGGCATTCCTGCTGGGGACCGCGGGGTGCAGAGGAAAAGGTGGAAAGGCTCACGAAGACACATCAGATCTGCRCGATGCAGCCAGCACTCGTGCCACAAAGCCCGGGAGTGAAGGTTGCTGAGTTTCCCCCACTCCCATAATTTATTTAATGCTTCCTAACAACTACCACACTGGCGTGTGCAAGAGCAATCTCCGGCACAAAGAGTTTGCAGTCATAAGCTCCATGTCTTCAGACTCTTAAGGAAACATTGAGCTTCCACGCAAATAATCCTGGATCTACAGTGTAACAACCACGCACAGGGATGCTACAAAAGCAGGGGCTTCCACGGTGCCTTTGAAAACGCGGGGTATGAAATAAGCCTTTCTTAGCATCATCTCACAAAGGTGTTCTTCATCAATGATTTATTTCACCACCATGGTCTTACCAGAAACCACCACATCTCTGTCTATGGCTCAAGCACCCTGAACATTCACGTGCCATCCGAGGGGAAACAGCTGCAAATTTTCCTGCTACTGGCTCAAAATAATTTTGCTCCACTTCATTCTCCGACCACTCCCTTTTCTCTGCCCGGGGGCAAACGGAGGCCTCTTAACTTGCTGGCAGCGCCTGTTGCAACACACAGCCCCTCAGCAAGGCACTGCCAGCACCGCCAAGGGCTCTGCAGCTGACGTCCGGGTGTATCAGGCACCACGCTACAACCGGCGAGGGTGTTCCCGCGTCAGCCCGCCGTGGCAACACCCCGCAGAGGCCCCTCTGCTTGGGAGGCTGGTGCCCTCATCCCGCAGGTTCGATCCTGCTGCAGGAGCCTCCGCAGTGTCCAGGGCTGGGCTGGCTGCTTTGCAAGTGRCGGAGCTCTGGTAATTACTCACATTAATGCAGAAATTAAATAATAATTTTACTACTCTTTAGAGCTTTAGCACCTCTACCCTGTGGCTAATGTATTTCTCGGAAATCTTCTCGGCACAAAACCAGCTTTCATTAAAAACTGGGAACAATTTGTTCTTAAAAAACAAACTACACCTCACTGCAATAATGCTGCCAATCTTAGAATATTTTGTTTTGACCCAAAGAACTAAAATAGCATCCCAAACAATTACTAAGTAACAACAGGAGCAGCATCTGTAACTGAGCTTAACAGACGAGCACACCCTCGCTTTGCTTCTCCAACTGAACACAACATTGGGCTGCTGTAAAATTAATTACGCTTGCAGCAGATGGGCGAGGGGAGGAKAAGGGTCTTTTGAGAGCTCATTCTGAAAAACTCAAAGGTAAAAATCGGGCATAAGCAGAGGACGGAGCTCTGYAGCATTGCTCTTTTCGGTCTAGAGGCCGAGCTCTGCACAGCTCAGCCTCTGYTGAATATGAGCACCAGGAGCAGAGTTTGAAGAATCCTGTTAGGGAAGGGCCCCGGGGGCAACTCACAGTCTCTGCGCCCCTTTGCGAGGCACTTGGGGCTCTGCAAAGAAGGTCATTTCTTTGGTTTGCATCCTATATTAAGGGAGCACCTCTGGGCAGAGAGCTGGACGGGCTCTGCTGATTGCCACAGCAGAGAGTCACCCCCTCCTCAAGAAATCACTGCATTCGGCCCCAAAATGCAGAGCCTGAATGAAGGAAGGAAGTGGTAGAGGGAAAAAACATGATTTCCTTTAAACYGTGGCAGGAATTGCCTCCAGAAAATCATCAAGCACTTTGCTGACAGTAACGCTACACAGCTCAACTCACCTGACACAAAAATGCAGCCACTTCTGGGAGGGAGAAATGACAGGTAGCAATTCACACACCCAAGTGCTAAGACAGGGTGGAATTTAGGACCTTGTTTTCCTCAGTGCATCCCCTACAGCATCATCTGAGTTGGAATTTAACCACGACACCAAAGTTAACACCTCTGGCACATGCAGAGGGTCCCAGCACAAGTGCAGCAGGTCTCATTGCTTGGCCAGAGGCTTATCTCAATGAAGGCATCTTGRGGAACAGAACCCATCTTTTGTTCAGCCTTGAATACATCCATTCTTGGTGTCAGAGAACTATTTCCTTCACACTACACCAAGAAAACAGATCCGGTATTTCTGCACTCAAAGCACATCGACRGACCTCACCCATCTGCATTCTCTGCATTTTTACATCCAGAGGAATTTCTAAAAGAATATTTTTTGTTTGCAGATTTACATGAAGAAGCAGATTCTTTGGAGCCTTTTCTGCTGCTTTTTGCTTGCAGGCTGACTTGAGGAGGCAGAAATAAGGATGAAGAGGCTACGTCATCCCAAAGCCTGGGCAAAAGGARGCGAGCGCAGCAACTGGCTGAATGCTCCAGCCCGAAGTCCCTGCATCTCCCAGCAGAGACCTGCGTGGCTGCGGGAGCAGCGAGGCCTCCCCGCCGCCCGCGCTCCCGACTTCCCTGCTTTCCCACAACCTACTTCCCGGCTCCCGAGCGTCCCTGTGCGCGTGGAGGGCGTCAGCATAATCAGATGTCACCATCATGTGCCGCTCTGCCTACAAGATCAGTCCRCCCTGCAGAAGTGGGCTGAGCTGACTCATCTGCAGGCAAATACTACTAAACTTTGCACTCTGCCAGCTGGCTGCAAYGAAGAACAGCCGGGACACGTGGAAGGCACCTAAGTGAGATCTTCTGGGAAAAGTCCTGTCACTTYGGACAATTTACCTTTTAAGGCACCCAAATGACCTTGCTCCTTATTCAAGGAGGCAGCAGACTTGGTAACTCTTTTCTCCTTTCTCCCCTGCTCAGTCTGTCACTATCTGTGCAGAGATCTGCGGCACACAGAGCGACACAGAAGAGGTGAATGGCACAGGACTCACCACAGACTCGGGCGATCAAAGCCCGTTTGCAGGATGAGGCTTGACCTCTACATAGTGACTGGCAGAGATCAGGATCTTTCTTCACTCTATCCTTAAAAGATCTTGCACTGGCTCCAGGCAACTTCATTCACAGACCAGGCTTGTGGAGGTCCAAATCCTTCCAAATCCCTAGACTGGGGCCATCTTCCCATCATCTCACCCCTGGGTTTGGGTGTTTTTAAAGGTCATGTAGAAGTTGAAAGGCAACAGCACAGTGACAGGGGCCCAGACTTGCCAAAATAGCTCCAAACCTCTTGTCTCCTACTGCTACGGCAGACTGGTGTTWTTTCTTCAGGCAGAACCCAAGCAACATTAAGCATGCTGAAGATCTCCTTAGGAACAGGTACCTGTGTTCTGCTCACCATGAAAACACACTGTTTCTGTCCACAAAGCTCCAAAGAGCGCAAGATACCAACACCCCAACTGGAAACAGGGCAGCAGGATCACCTGGGCAGAGCTKCTATGAAACACAAAAAAGGGAAATTGCCAGCAAGATGCTCTCCATGAATTCACAACGTTTCCCAAGGAGTCCTCCGCGCACACAGGAGTCCTGTGGGTGAAATCCCCACCAGAATCTGYGTCTGACAACACTGGTCTCTGCCAGCTGCTGGCCAGGAGACCTGGTGCTGCAAGGAGCCCTGGTGGGCACAGCAGAAAGGAGCAGGGAAACCCACCCGCAGCAGCCTGCACCACTCCCCAAGGAGCAAGGGCTAGCGAGGAGCAACTCCGAATTACAGAGGACTTGAAATTTAATCACAAAATCATTCATCAGCATGGCCAAGACTTGGGTGGACGCTCAAAACGTCCTGCCTAGGCAGCAGCTGGGTCACACCGTCCTCTGCAGCCACTGCCACCGCCTGCTTGCCGGGCTCCTCGCTCCCTGCCTGTGTCCCACAGGCCGGCAGGCATCTCCCCGCAGCTGCGGCCCTGGAAGCCCCTTTACCTTAAAGCAGCTCCCTTTAAAAATTCCCACAGCACCTGCTGTGCTTCCCGCCCGGCCGGCCCAACGGCGTGGGCAGCCGTGCAGCCCCCAGCCCCGCAGAGAGCGGGCTGCGGGCCGGGGCCTTCCCCCTGCGGGGCTCCCACGTCCCCGCCGCGGCCCCAAGCAGAGCCGGGGTCCTGCGGGGGCTCCGTCCCGCAGCAGACACCCCATGGCAGGGGCCGCTGCCCTCCC